TTACTAAAGCCTGTTGTGTTACAAAAAAAAAATCAAATTACTAATGAGGAAAATCGATGGATAAACAAGAAATAATGAGTGGTCGAATGAAAATACGAAAAGATATTTTGTATGAAAAATGAGCAGGAACGAAAGTTACTTATACGTACGGTGACCATCCGTTCTGTTTTTTGCAGGACCGTACTGTTTTTCAAAGGTCGGTCCTGCGTAGTTTTTCAAACCTGAAAAATCTGAAAATGTACTGATTTTTTCCAAGTGTCCTGCATTTGTCCCGCATTATCGGACAGTGGATGGATTTTTTCAAAGAAGTGTGTTTTGGTACTTTTCGTAGCTTTTCTTCAATATCTCATGAAAAGATCTCCAAATCAACGTAAGCGACTTACAGCTCGAAGGGTATTGATGTGCCTCTTGTGGCGACTTCAATGAAAATTATTAGTGCTACATGCGACCATTTGCATTTTGTCGTCAAAGTCGAAAAAAGTGAGAGTTTCATTTGATTATTTTTTTCATTATTTTAAAAATTCGATAAAGAAGGTATATTATTACAGTAAATTTTGAGCCAAAGATAATGAAAATCGGATTAGAAAAGTAGATACTATGGAGCGCAATCTGCACAAATTATATATTTTTGTAAAGGGCACTTTGTAACTCGTCGTTTATGTCTTTTTGCGACTTTTGACAAATAACTGCGAAAAGTACCAAAAAACAAAAAAGAAGGGTATTCTTTTCTTTTTGAACTACTAAAAATTTGCCTATAAAATAATCTTTTAAAGATTTTCACTTTTCGTGTAAGCTATTGTAATTATAATATGTTTTACTATATGTATTTATAAATATTAATGTAAAAAAAGATTAATATCGATGAAGAAAACGTGATTCATTGTTAAAGTTTAAAATATATTAAGAATTTTGAATCATAAATACTCTTTTGATATTTTTATACTACGTAAATATATGTGGGTATATTTTTGAAAAATTGTCCTTCATTTTGAATCCATATTTATGGTCACCGTACTTATACGCCACGTACACCTGAGTAACTCGCTTTTCTGCTCATATTTCATACAAAAAATCTTTGCGCATTTTCCTTTGACAACTCATTATTTCTTATTTATCCATCGGTTTTTTTTTCTTCAGTATCTTTATTCTTTTTTTTTGTAGCAGAACAGAACAGAACCTTTTACTATTTTAGTTTTTCTTATGTTAAAGTTTGATTTTTTTCATATTTTCGTTAAAAAATTAAAAAATTGGAATGATTTATTTATTTGTCTGAAAGCCTATCGGAAAGTGATGTATATACGCGTTTTATTAGCTTTCATTTGCCGTATCTTATATTAAGATTGTTGAATTGGTTCGTAAGATATATGTACGTGATTAAAAGGAACACTTTTTTTTTAAATATCTATACTTTGATTTACAGATGTCCTAAGATTACCTTCTATGTGAATTAATGACGCTCGAGCTCTGAAAGTGGTAGCAGAGGAAGAGGGAGGCCAACAACAACAATGCGTGCCATTTTACTATCCCATAACTAAAGGGACCGGTTGAGAAAAATAACTTATTCCACCAATTATCTTGGTCTACTTATCTATTAGAAAGGGGTTTCCTATCCAACCAATTTAACTATAAAACAGCGAAATCGGGGACAATGTGCAAAGATGAAAGGAATGTAACAAGTTGACCACCTGTGACCACTGTAAAAATTTGGATAGGTGTTTATATCTGCAAGTTTTTGCAAAGTTTTCGTTCTTCAGTTTATTTTCCCATCTCTGCGAAATTTATTTGTTAGAAATTTTGTTATGGAGAATATGGGAACAAAACTTGAGAATAAAAAAATAAAAGTGACACAATCTCAATATTCAATAAAACTTCTGTGCGGTTTTTAACTGGTGTATAGTATACACTGTATACACAAATTCATAGTAAATAAACGATTTAAGTTAGAAAAACAAGTTTTGTAAGTGGTGTGTTTTTAGTTATTCCTTTATTTCTTCATCAAAACGTTTTATTAGTAAATAATGGACCTAGGACCTACTCTTTTTTTTGTAAGAATATCGAAACTATGTCTATCGGATTAATATTTCTCTTGCTGAAATACCCCATGCTGGCCCCATACCACTGGCCTCACATGAAAATTTTGATTTTATCTCTTGTAAAAATTCTTTGTAAGCGTTTCCGCGTCTCCTTTTAAATTTTATATGCATTCAATACTCACTTGAAATATACAAACACAATAATTGCCAACGTCAGTGATACTAAGCTGATGGTGTAGCCAATGTAGTAAATTATCGTTGGCAATTCGACAATTGGCTCGAATTCAGGTACAGTTGAGGGGGCGGGTAGATGCATGCATAAATCATAATTAGTGTACTTCTCCCATGTGCCGTTCGCATGGCAGTATCGCGTCGCATTTTCTAAAAAAAAATGTAAATACAATCTTTTTTGCGAAGTCGGTGTAATATTGCTCACTAATATATATAGGTACATATGTATTTATAAGCATATATTTATTTATTTATTTATTTATTTATGTCTAATAACAGAATGTTCTAACAGACATTAAGAGTATAATTAAATATAACAAATCAGTCTTAATATTATTTAATATTACTACTTAAAAGTTGCATTTATAAGGTTACAAGAAATACAGATATTGGGCAGATATTATTGACCGGACATAAGGTAATTTTCCAAATATAATGCGGTTGTACTAGGATTGGTAAAATCCATGTCTAACAAATTTGAGAAATAGTTGTAGTCCGATAAGGTTCTGTTTATTGGCGCGTTTGCACCATAAGCCGTTCTGCTTAACCCAACCTTGAAGACATCAAAGCGACGCAAATTACGACTCGGAACGTAAAAATGGATTCTCTCAAGTAAGGACGCATTTGACAGTAGTCGATAATGCAGAATTTGTTTCGGAAGCAATAGTATGAGCTGTGTTATTGTCATGCTTGCTTGTTGACATTCTTCCACCATCTGCAAGAGTCGGACGACTAGCAGCAGAGTTAAGCATAGATACGCCGCGATTAACCGACGGGTTTTCAGAAGGCGCAGCAACTAACTGCGACGAATTTGGAAGCGGCGAGAACATAAGCAATTCGACATCCGAAGATCGGCAACCATTTAAGCCGCTATTATTGTTGTGAGCGATTACATCAATAACAGCACGTTTCAGGGCACTTACTTCAGTAGTTAAAGCATCAACACTAGTGGCATTGTTGTTGCCATTTGAAGATAATAGAATGACTTGGCTTTTTACTAAGTCTATCTGGGTGGTTAATGCTCCAATCTTCACTTCGAAAGCCGCCATAATCGATTCCAAGACTATTTTCTGAGTGGCAAGGATCGACTCAAGAATATTGCAAATTTTGTCCGGAGCATCAACACAGTCACGACACAGGTAACCAATATGCCGGTTGGCTGCAAACAACCTCACGTCATATTCCCTGATAGGACCTTCACAACAGGCCCTATGAAAGCGCTTTTTACAAAAGCCATTACACGGCACAACTGAAGAATCACTCCTTGAAAACATTTTAGTGCACTTTCCACAAAAGGCAGCCATATTTAAAATATGTATGTGTCTTTAAATATTTGTAACATGAAGAAAGAAAGCAGAGCAAAATTAGAGAGTAGTCAAAAACACGTCTACACTCGATGACACTCACACACTATTATTATTATATAAATAGCCCAGTCGGCAAAAGCCGAAAAATGCCTTCTAGGAGCATCTAGCTCTGATCTTTTGAATTCATAAGCTTCCGTACTCGATTCTTAACTCCCTTTGCATGCATACATTTGTAATGACCAGAGTTTCTGATTAGCTTCCATTAGAAAGGGAAGATTTATTTGGAATAATAATAATGACGTAGTGTAGATTAAGCCTTGCTCGAGACACGCATCTACTAGAGTTACTCATACGCCACGTATCCACACATTTCAACAAACTTAATAAATGGCAATTGGTTTCGCGAAAGTGATTGGTTGACAATTTTTTCCTCTAAAATCTTAATAAATCTTAATACGATGAATGAAAAGCACACCCTCGGTGACATTAGCAGCACTGCTCCAAATGCCAATAGCTTTTTAAATATGTAGTCCAAAATATTTCCTGAGATTTCTTAATTTTCAGAATAAGACGGTATGCTTTTTATCAGTTAGAAAATTATTTGGACCTTTACAGCCAGATTGTCTGGTATATTTGGTAAAATACCTTTTCGGCAAGTGTCGCGTGGCAGCGCTATTGAAAGATCTTCCACCGTCTTTTCTTTTGCCGGCTGGGGCATAAATATCTCGAGCTCAGCTTTTAAACTAATATTTATGCAGGTTATTTCTGCAGGACTAACCTACAGCTTAAATCATCAGACTACCAGAACAAAATACGAGGAACCAAATCCACCCTGCTGCGGTACACCAAATCATATGTTGAGAGAAATATATTAAGCTAACGTAACTGAATTTGCGTTTGTTACACTTTGGGGAAAAAACGATCGAACTTCAAAACACTCGAAACTATCAATATACACACAAAACTATGGACCAAATATAGGAATGCAGTGCGTAAATGAGAAAGTAAAAAAATATATCTTGAGGCATATTGTAACGCGTTACTTCATCGATAAAGAAAGTAATCGCTTACCAAAAAAATAAAAGTTTTTGC